TAACGCTTAGGTTTTTATGTCTTTTTAATAAATTGTGTTTTTGAGATTGCTTTTGACACTACCTAGCGCACCCCTGGGATTTATTACAAAAACCGGTGGTGAAAAATAAAAAGTGACGCTAAATGACTCCATGCCAAATCCGTTCAAAAATACAACACCCTGTATTTTAGTACATTTTCAAAATCTACGTTGTTTGATACCACATTTCCTATACCCAGCATCAAAGGTTTTCAAGTTATTCAAGATTTTTGAAAATTTCTGAGCCGTTGCCTTGAATTTCAAAAAGTATTCTAAAATTGACAATACTGAATGAAGTTAAACAGATAAATAGACTCAAAAAGAAATGCACTTCAAGTGGCCAAACTGGCAGTACTAACTTGACGCTGCGTGACAATGATTTAAATCTTGTGCGCCCTTCTACAAGGTGTTTTAAAACGAATTGTCAACTTTAATAACTTCAAACCTTAAAAAGTTGATCTAGGTGGCCAATGTCACAGATAAAATACCCAAATTTTATCTGTGCCAATGTGGAAGTCGTCCCGGGAAGATTTGTGCAATCAACCCACGATATGGCCAGAGTGTTGCCCAGTATAGTAACAATTTATATTGTATTTTGACTACCACCGTAATTGGTGCATAGTCTAAAAAGAAGTTTTTAATTAATTCGCATTTTGAAGAAGGTAGGGTCAACCTTAGGTGAATGTGTTTCCGGCGTTAATGAAACAACCGGCGCCTAACAGAATATGATAGCGTCAAGAAATTTAGGGTGATCTCAAGTTGTTTTAGGTAGCGCCTAAGCTGGCGCCAAGAAATTTCATATGGCACCAAGTAACTTTGGGAGGTGTCTAAGAAATAGGGATTGGAACCCATATGAAATATAGGTTTCGGTCCCCCACTATTTATATGGAACTATTTTTTAAAGGTTCCGGTACCGGTTCCGGATTCGGTTCTACTTTTTTTTTCGGTTTTTAAGGGTTTCAACGTTAATAAATAAAATTTTGTACGAATATCAGGCTCGATATTTAACCCTAGGGCGACTACAATGCCTCGGGCCAGAAGCCTTTGGCCTCTGTCGTCCTCGGCATAAATATCGCCTTAATGCCCTTGATAACAATGGTAAAATGAATGGGAGTAATGAATAAAAGTGAGAATTTGGATTTTTTTGCCTAACCCAGCAAGATATTTCAGGTATCGCTAAAAGTAGTTTTAGGTGGCGTCTAAGAAAGCAGGGAGACGCATAAAATGGCAGGGTGGCGGCGGCGCCTGGCATATTTATTTTCTCTCTTTTTGTTCTAGGCCGTCAACAGGTTTATACGCTCAATTACATTTCATAATGCTATTTTAGAGATGCCCCTGCAGAAGGTCTTAACAATAAATTTTAGGTGGCGCAGCAGGGTGTTGCTTAAGAAAGCAGGGTGGTGCCTAACAGAATATGATGGGGCCAGGAAATATTAAATGGTGACCAAGGAAGCATGCGGTAACGCCTAAGAAATCAAGTTGGCGCTAACAGAATGTGATGATGCCAAGAAATTTTATGAAGGGCCACGTAGTTTCAGGTGACGAGTAAGAAAGCAGAGTGGCGCCTAAAAAGACAGGGTAGCGCTTAACAAAATATGATGGCGCCAAGGAATTTTAAACAGCGCCCAAAAACGCTAAGAAACCAAGGTGGCAAAGTAGTACTAGGGTGGTGCCTAAGAAAGCAAGGTGGCGTCTAACAGAATATGATGGCGCCAACGAATTTCAGTTGGCGTCATGTAGTTTTTTAAGTGGCGCCTAACAATGACAGTGACGTTTAAGAAAAAAAGGTGGAGCCTAACAAAATGTTGGCGCCAAAGTTTTAGGTGGCGTCTAAGAAAGCACCCAACCATCCAAATCTTAAGCACAAACATCCGAAATTAAATTATAATTTTCAACTTTTTTTTACAAAACATTCACATTGGGCTCTAGCCTTCTAGAAATACTATGGTATCGTAATTCTTATAACAGAATAAAAATTTAAATTAATCTTAAACCTAAATCATTAAAATTACTACGAATGCCCATTTGAACATCCATTTAGTACATTTCCGCAATCAACAAAGTACTTAAAGGGAATATTATCGGCAACCACATTTCTGATTTGCTCCTCAATATTAGACAACAGATCCGCATGTACTTCCTCGAAACTACCATTGGCACTGATGACCTTCCAATTATCCTCTGTCTTTCCAAAATGGTCGTAAATCTTTGAGACAGTTTGCTGCATTTTAGTGTTTTCATAGCGTTCGTTTCCAAAACCTAGCCGACTTGACTGAGTTTCAGGATTAATGTGCAAAAACAGGACCAGGTCGGGTTTTAACAGGCCGATTTCGGGCTGCATGCACCACTTCATCGACATTCCTACAATGACAATGTTCTAGCACTGGCTACACAATATCAAACTACCTTTAGCTGTGGAAAAGGCAACACCGGAGTACGAGTACCGATCGACAATCAGCGAGACGCCATTGCTCAATTTCTCCTTCATTCGATCGATGTTCTCCCAACGATTCGCACTGAAGAGCAGATGGATAGTTTCGTCGTTCAATTTACAGGTTTCATCGCTTAAATAGTGGGAAATCACCTGGCCTGTTTGGGTTGTACGATCTGGAAAGTTCATTCGTTCCACTCGAATGTTCTTCTTCCGTAGGGATTCCACAAGTTTGATAGTCTGGGAGGTTTTGCCGCATCTGTCTATTCCTTCGACGACGATAAAGGCTCCACGACCCATTTTCTGAAAATAAGAAATATTTCGTGGTGAGGAAATTTAGCGGGATTTTGTGTACTTGAAAACTTAACCTCATTTTTACACATTCTGACATTTGTTATTTAAATCGGATGCTTTACATTTATACGAGATGTGTTCTATTGATTCATGTTATCCTGGTACCTCGACATGGCACGGCATATTTTATATATAAAAAAACCTTAACGTTTTTCGGAAGGTTGTATGACAAGTTGCCTATACATCAGTGTGTATCTTGCTAATCGACTAAAGGCACACGCAAAAAATGGTAAAGTTGTAACTAAATTGACATTGATGCCAAACAGTGCTTAAAATATTAGTTTACTGCTTTGTTTAGGAATGCAAAATTAAATTGCACTGGGCCTTTTTTTTGAATAATAATCTTTCCAGACATCTAACGTTAGTCAATGGAATTATATACTTATATGTCACTATTAAGGGCAGGGAACTGCATTATTACCTGTTACTAGTTAACGTTTATAGCACAGAGGTCGCTAACTGAAATACTAATTCAGAATTGATTGCAATCGTACCTTAGCTTTCATATTCTCCTAATACCCCGGTTTGAGATTTCATGTTCTGTATATAAAAAAAAACTGTTGTTACGCCCGTTTTCAATGACTTTTTGCATGCAAAATTATGGATGTCGAGAACACACTGATGTATAGGCAACCTGTCATACCGCCGTCCGAAAAACGTAGGGTTTTTTATATATAAAATATGAAATTTCAAGCCACGCTATTAGGAGAATATGAAATGAAAGGTACGAAGATAATAAATGTTTAAAATCATTTGTGCACGTCGCGGCCTCTGTGCCAGTGAACATTAACTAGAACCTAGTTGTAATGTAGTTTCCTGTACTTAATAGTCCTGAAAAGTATGTGCTTTCGTTGTCCAATGGTAGATGTCGGAACCAGAAGTTATTCAACATTTATTCAAATTATTCAAAAAGAAGATCAAATGCAATTTCATTTTGTATTTTTTGCATTCCTTATTTATTTATTGTCCCTCCTTATCAAAGCATAAAGCTACGAATATTTAAGCTCTGTTTAACTCATTACTTTGCCCAATTCAGAGTTGTCAATCTGAGCTGTTCTAATTACCACTATCAGCGAAAGAATGATTATCAATTTGCTGTAGGATCGGTGCTTTGGAATGCATCAATTGAGAGGAAGAATAAACAAGGGGGATAAATCCGAACCAGAGGCCGATCGCTGGAGGAACAGGGGGCAATGAAAGGGCGGACGAGCTAGCTGGCTTGTGAAGGCAGTGGTGGGGTCTTCAACGAGTCCTAGCTTACCCTAGGAATTGCTCAACGTCAGGAATAAAGACTAGGTAACCAGTCAATTCCAGCCTCAGTGGGAACAAGCAACTGCAGACAGTCCAGGGCCTTTTTAACAGAACTCTTTGGCAAATCTGGGTCTTAAGCTTCTATAACTGAATAAAATCTAGATTAGGAAAATCACCAGTGTCCTCACGGAGCAGAGCAATGGATGGTCAACTATCATATGCATAACATTGGGTTTGTGGAGGAGCCCACGTGCAGGTTCTGTGGCGAAGCAGATGAAACTATATCGATTATGTGGTTTGTCACATGGATCCAGAGACAGACATCCTTGGAGACAGTTATCTGGAACCGGGGAGAGCGAAGCAACTTAGGCTAAACGGGGTCCTATCCTTTTTTGAGAGGAACGGGCACTGCGAACCTAGTTGCGAAAGAAATGGGGTACGCACAATGGGCCTTTGGTGTGCCTAAGTGCTGCTTGGTCGGGCCCCCCTGTGAATAGATAGATGTAGATGCATCGTCACCAATTCATGGAGACATGGAAGCAACAAAAGCAGCCCAATGTGATGAGCAAGCAATTAAATTACGTCAAAAAGCAAAAGATACCCAATGCCAATCCCTTAGGCCTCATCACGAGAGATAACATACTTAGTTCTTATCCCATGCCAAGCTATAGCCGTACCTAGGGCGCTGTAAATGCCTTAGCCGTACCCAGGAGTTCGTTTGCTATACCTATTTGTTTAGTTTGTTTAAATTTTAATCTATAAATCGATTAAGACATTTAAGTTGTTGGTAAATGTATTGCAAACGGGGGAAACCCTTGGATTTCCCTATCACACATCAAGCTTAGGGTACCCTCGAACGAATCTGCCCTTTGAGCCTACGCAAAATGTGTATTGATTTATTTATTTACCAGGGGTGCTTTGGTATTTAACATTTAAATGAAAGTAACTTTGACAATGACCTTAAGTTGGCGAGCGTGTAAAGCATATGTTTGTGGTATGTTTTGGTAAACAAAAAGCCATGCTGCCTTTGTTTACATTTTGTTTAATGTAATAATCAAAACGTTATTTAAATTGATCATCTCACTCGATTTTTACAGCCCACTTGACGTAAAATATCGAAATCAATTACGTGAACTTGACACATTTGCTGGAAAACGCATGTGCGCCTAAACTAGGGCACAGGATGACATTGGCCCAGTTTACACTCGCAAGGGGTATGTTTTAGCGAGGCACACTTTAAGGGTGCATTTGCAATTGAAACGCGAAGGCTGAACTAATTTCTACCTAATCTTAGAAGGCTGTGAAACAAAACACCGAGGGTGAGTAGGACTCCTTTGTTTATTGACTCGATTAATTCCTTTCAGATGGGCACGGTGAAGGGATTTAAAGTGACCGATTCCGAAAGAAAGACCCGCGTCGGCATCGCCGCGAAAAGTCTCGAGGATCTCAAAAAGAAGACCGTGGACAAATTTAAGCTGTCCGAACAGAAGATCACGTTCCAAACGGCGGACGGTACAGTAATCGACGGCGACGATTACTTCGAAACGTTGCAGGCGCAATCTCTGCTGATTTGGGTCAAGGAGGGCGAACGAGCGGAGACCGACGCCGAAATTCTCTACAAGGCGATCCGCGAAGTGAACGACGAGTACCTAAGCGCCGGCGAGAAGGTGCAGGAGTTCTTCACCGAGAAAATGAAGAATAAAGTGTTCAAGTTGGCGGAGGTGCTAAAGGGAATCGACACGAATAAAACCCTCCGTTCCACTAGAGAGGATCATCCCGAGTGGTTCGAAGGTAAGTCGTTCATACAGTAGTTTGACACATTGTTCGTGTGGCAATGAGGATACTCGACGAGTCTGTATGAGACACAGTAGTTATCATCCATTCAACGATCGGCGGGTAAGCAGGTTGCAATTTTGCAGTGGCGGATTAATTGTTTAATTTCGGCAGGCTAGACTTTTCGGATCCCTGTTTGTTGTGTTTGACAAAAAGGCACCAACAAGGAAAAAACCCAGTATTAGATTTAAAATTCGAATCCAAAATATTGATCTGCTCCTTTTCAAGTAAATTGTTTTCTCACTCCTTAGACATGATCAGTGCCATGGACACACACGCACACCCAATCAATTATAAATTGGCTGGGATAGCAAAAGATTTTGTCAGTTTTGGGTGGACTTGCCGCCAGTAATAGGATTTGGTGGTTATGCCAAAGTTCAGGCGTGCGCATGCGTCTTTTATCACTTGTGTATAGCTTGTTATGGAAAGTCATCTTTGAAATTTAGATTTAGGTCTCTGCAACCAGTAACGTAACATTAGTTTTAATTAGTATTAATTGGTGGTGGTATTACTGATGAGAGGAACACTGCCCACATAGCATTTGAAATCTTATGTTAGAAAAAGTGTTTTCCCGAGAAATTTTAGTGTAGTCGATTTTTGGTAAAAAAGGAAGGTTGTACACTGCCTTTTTTTGAGGCCCGAAAAAAAATTGTCTCAGAACGACCCAGAAAAAAAATGATCTTATAGAATGTGGCCTGTAGAATCCATAACTTCAAACAGTTCCAAGATTGGGCTACTAGTTCAAAAGTTACAGCCCTTTGATTTTTCTTTCGAAATTGGTTTCTAGTCTATAACTTTTGATTGAGAAGTCTGATCGAAAAAGTCCGAATTGATTTGGATCTACGCACCAAAATTAATAAGAAAAAGTGTTTTCCCGAGAAATTTTGGTGTAGTCGATTTTTGGTAAAAAAAGAAGGTTGTACACTGCCTTTTTTGAGGCTCGAAAAAAAAATTGTCTCAGAACGACCCGGAAAAAAATGTTCTTATAGAATGTGGCCTGTAGAATCCATAACTTCAAACAGTTCCAAGATTGGGCTACTAGTTCAAAAGTTACAGCCCTTTGAATTTTATTTCGAAATTATGGTTTCTAATCTATCTTTTGATAGAGAAGTCTGATCGAAAAAATACGAATTGTTTTGGATTATACGCACCAAAATTAATAAGAAAAAGTGTTTTCCCGAGAAATTTTGGTGCAGTCGATTTTTGGTAAAAAAGGAAGGTTATACACTGCCTTTTTTTTGAGCCCCGAAAAAAAAATTGTCTCAGATCGACCCGGAAAAAAAATTTTCTTATAGAATGTGGCCTGTAGAATCCATAATTTCAAACAGTTCTAAGATTGGGCTACTAGTTCAAAAGTTACAGCCCTTTGAATTTTCTTTCGAAATTGGTTTCTAGTCTATAACTTTTGATTGAGAAGTCTTATCGAAAAAGTACGAATTATTTTGGATTCTACGCACCAAAATTAATAAGAAAAAGTGTTTTCCCGACAAATTTTGGTGTAGTCGATTTTTGGTAAAAAAGGAAGGTTATACACTGCCTTTTTTTGAGGCCCGAAAAAAAAATTGTCTCAGATAGACCCGGAAAAAATTTTTTCTTTTAGAATGTGGCCTGTAGAATCCATAATTTCAAACAGTTCCAAAATTGGGCTACTAGTTCAAAAGTTACAGCCCTTTGAATTTTCTTTCGAAATTGGTTTCTAGTCTATAACTTTTGATTGAGAATTCTGATCGAAAAAGTACGAATTGTTTTGGATTCTACGCACCAAAATTAATAAGAAAAAGTGTTTCCCCGAGAAATTTTGGTGTAGTCGATTTTTGGTAAAAAAGGAAGGTTATACACTGCCTTTTTTTGAGCCCCGAAAAAAAAATTGTCTCAGATCGACCCGGAAAAAATTTTTTCTTATAGAATGTGGCCTGTAGAATCCATAATTTCAAACAGTTCCAAGATTGGGCTACTAGTTCAAAAGTTACAGCCCTTTGAATTTTTTTCAAATTGGTTTCTAGTCTATAACTTTTGATTGAGAAGTCTGATCGAAAAAGTACGAATTGTTTTGGATTCTACGCACCAAAATTAATAAGGAAAAGTGTTTTCCCGAGAAATTTTGGTGTAGTCGATTTTTGGTAAAAAAGGAAGGTTATACACTGCCTTTTTTTGAGGTCCGAAAAAAAATTGTCTCAGATCGACCCGGACCCGGGGTTGTAAAATTGGATTTGTACTTGGTGACAAAATCACATTGGTCACATTTTAAATCCTTAGCAGATCGATATCTTAACAAATGTTAAGATGTGCTTTAAGACTGCATTTATGTGGGGGAATCTCACTGGGCACACTTTAAATTCTAGGAGACCTTGTAATGTGTTTTTATAATTAGATTTATCATTCGTTGCATACAGGGTGAAAACGAAAAGTTTGACGTTTGGGATGTTATCATATCTTACTTTCCATGTAGGACAGAAAAACTGCCTATTACAATTGTTACGTAGAATTCAGTGGCGTAGTAAAAAAAATGTTTGCACCACCGTTTCTGAGGTATAGGATGCGTTCCAACGGCCTGTACTCAGTTGGACATGGCCGCACTGGTAAAAGTGCGTAAAGTTTATTCATATTTCGCTTTGTCAGCCGTCGAACTTAAAAATTCGCCACTACTTTTCCCATCGCAAATTCATAACTCGAATGCGCAAACTTGCTTACCCGCATTCCCTTACACAATGCCCACATAACATACAAAATTTATATCAAACAGGCTTAGACACTCGATCAAAAACAAAAGAGGAATATATGTTTAGGAGAGCGCAAGACAGAGTAAGAACGTATTACTACAAAACGAAAGAGGAATTACGGAAAAACGCCAATTTACCGCCCGAACGATTACATACGTTGCTCCTCGACCTACATGACGGTCTTAAATTTGTCAAATTCTTCGGCAACTACTTCGATAGATCGTGCGCGATCGGAGACCGTAAATGTAAGAGTTTGTGCGACGAAACCGGCAAATTCCTCTGCGAGGGAAGGTGGGATAAGGGCGCATGTTTATATAAGCCGATGCACAGTATTAATCCTTATACGAGTAGAGAGGCACGGATAATTTTTCAAACTTGGAACCTCGATCATATCATCGAGCGGAGCAGGTCCGTCATACCTGCGATCGTTTACGCATTGTCTTCTCAGGATTCTTCCATTAACGGTACGAAAAAGGGACAACTCGACACTAAGAAAATATTTAACGATCTGTTTAGCGTTAACAATTTAAAATTTGTTCATATTATTTGTCACGACAAAGGCGCTCACGTCGGTATGACGGCGGGACCGTACTTAATGTAAATTCTATAGACTGGTAGATTTAAATAATTTTTTATTACACCAAACGGGGGGTTTGTCGACAATATTAATCAAGTTCCTTGATGACTTAATGATAGGTATTAAGTACCTTTTTATAATCACTCGCAAATGAAAACATTTATTTGTATATGTTTGTGATATCTAGGAAATTAGCGTTCATTTTACAAGTATCTGTTTTTAAATTATTTATTTATAAATTGTTTTATATATTAGTGCTAGTGGTTTAATTTTAATGTAAATTTGTATTTGTGTTTCGCCCCACTATTCATTTATTGTAACCCCCTTATACAATGTTTAATTTAAAACAAAATGACTGACTAATGAAATTCTATGAGCTTATACAATTTTTAGCGACACAATTGAATATGTTATATTTGTACCGATATGTTAACTAACACAAAAATGTACCGAATTGTATATACGTAGTGCTAGTTTTTAGCGTTTGTGTTTCATGAGAAATGATTCGATCTATGCGACTTCGCTGTTTTTAGCATATGTAAACTCATTACTTACGAAATACTTGAACTGTTATCGTTTAAAACGGTGCCTAAGCAATGTTTGTTGAATAGTGTTATACATTGTTACGATATGTGTATAAGAAACGGACTGCGGGAAACAAGAGATGTAATATTTTGCTCAAGTTTGTATTCAACATTAAAACATATCCAGAAATTCAAAAAGATTTTTATACTGTATAAGTCTAAGAGTGTTAAAGCATTAATCTGCTTTTAATCGTATCGCAATTGTAAACCCAACTTCCCAGTTAGTGTCTCGGAACGCAAAGTGCAAGTTGCGCTAAATTACCTCATTACCCGCTTAGGTACCCTTTTAACTAAGATGTATGTACTCAATGCATGGTGCTTCGATGTAACTTATATAAACAATCATGTAAGAAGCAATTATTATAAGCGATATAATATTAATGTTGTACAATTCATAAGTCTGACTCGTGTTGATGCTGTTCACTTGACGATAGATTAGCTTTAATGTGATAGAAGATAAACATATATAAGAATAGATATATTTTTATCATGTATTTTATCATATCATGTAATCAAATATATATATACTGTGAGGCTTCCATGCTTATCACTTAATATTGTGATCTGTAGCTAAAACTTGTGTAGCGAACTGCCATTTTATTAAATGTAATAGCTTTAATGAGTTTCTGTATAACAATGAATCTTTGAAAATATATATACACAAACAATATTTTGACATTCTTGAGCCCTTTTTCAATTTCATTAGATAAACTTTAGTGCCAAACTATCTACATGGATGGATGAGCTTTCTGCAACGTTTGAGAAAGCTGCTCCCATCTACATGGTAGGTTACAAAATAAATTTCTTCTGAATCTAGAATATTACTTACAGCTTCTCGAAATAGGCGCACATCACACATGCAATAAATACCACCACCAGAACAACAAATACATCGTGAGTAATCATTTTCACTAACGGGGTGTTAGATAGAACGTTGATACAAACTATCTTATCATGTACAGGGGGAAAAGTATTTCTGATGGTCTATAATAATGTGGAAAGATGCGACACGCAATGCATTTGAATAAAATTCGTTACATGATCCATTCATTGTTGGTGCAAAGATAATCTTTGATTGTTATTAGTACCAGGTTTAATGACAACAAATAAAGATAGACACATTTGAAAGTGTTCTGTGTCTAATTTCAAAAGTATGCATACTGAAGATTCGGAAGGGACACCTGATGACTTGGGAGGTGGGAAGACGGGAAGAAGTCTCTGTTATAACCTTAATCCGGCGGGTCTCAGGGGTGTTTCCAGAGTATCTTTTGTATTTGATCCGCTTATTCAAGCCAACCTAATCGCCATGGGAGAGAGAGAAGGGTATGTTATGTGTTTTACTCATTAAAATAGGTGAGGATTGGCAAACTTGTCAAATCAGAGGTGGTGAGCACGACTGTATATCCACCACCATAGGATAACTGGGTGATTCTTAGACTCCTTCTCTAAGGGGTGATCACTATTATTATTATTATTACACAATTCGTAACATAATTATCAGTGTGCTCGCGCACCAAATTTCCCGGGAAACATCGGACTACCCCACTGAAGCATCACCGCCAAAGCAAATTGAGGTCCAGTGTTGGGACTCGCCAGGTGGGATACCGGGAAATTCGAATTCGTAGAAAATTTAACGTGAAACTTTAATTGATTAATTGGCCTTAAAGGATCTATCCAATTTTGAATTTCTGATATAAATAATAGTAATGTATAATTTGATTCCACAAATTCCATATAATCTGCGGTTTATTTTCTTACAGAGTAAAAAATTGTTAATATTTAAGTATAGTCTATTGTGTTAAGTTTGAAAAATTAGGTTATTTGAAATACAGAATGGTCAATTAAAATTGTAAAGGTTCATAACAAAAAACATCGTATTTGTAAGAAATTCATTGGGCAAGGAAATTGAATTACTTTCAATACAGAGATATGACCATTTAGTGTCGTTTTATTTTTGCTGGCAAGGTGGAAAACTTTGTAGCAAGTTTCAGAGAAGCAAATGAAAAACCCTACAGTAAGCAAAACGACAAAAAAAAGGTAAAATTTAGCTAACCGACAACAAACAATAATTCAATGGATTTTGGTACCGTTTTAGTTCAGAATTTCAAAACTTTCTGAGGGAGTGTACACCCTTTATTGCAACCAGAGCTGGGCAGTATTCGATTTTGTAAATACTTTTTAGTTTAAAGTATTCAAATACTTTGTAATTAAATACTTTTATGGAAGCAGTATTTGTATATGTAACCAAAGAGTCGTTGTATACTCTTTGATGTAACTCAAAGACTTACACAAATATTTAGTATTCGAATACTTCGCAAGGTAGTTGAATACTTTGGGAAGTATTCGAATACTTCCCATAATTTTTTACCAAAAATCGACTACTCCAACTTTTTTTCGGTCCTCAAAAAAAGGCAGTGTATAACCTTCCTTTTTTACCAAAAATCGACTAAACCAAAATTTCTCGCGAAAACACTTTTTCTTATTAATTTTGGTGCGTATCCAAAACAATTCGTACTTTTTCGATCAGACTTCTCAATCAAAAGTTATAGACTAGAAACCAATTTCGAAAATAAATTCAAAGGGCTGTAACTTTTGAACTAGTAGCCCAATCTTGGAACTGTTTGAAATTATGGATTCTACAGGCCACATTCTATAAGAAAATTTTTTTCGGGTCGATCTGAGACAATTTTTTTGCGGGCCTCAAAAAAAGGCAGTGTATAACCTTCCTTTTTTACCAAAAATCGACTACACCAAAATTTCTCGGGAAAACACTTTTCCTTATTAATTTTGGTGCGTAGAATCCAAAACAATTCGTACTTTTTCGATCAGACTTCTCAATCAAAAGTTATAGACTAGAAACCAATTTCGAAAGAAAAATCAAAGGGCTGTAACTTTTGAACTAGTAGCCCAATCTTGGAACTGTTTGAAATTATGGATTCTACAGGCCACATTCAGTAAGGAAATTTTTTTCCGGGTCGATCCGAGACATTTTTTTCTTCGGGCCTCAAAAAAAGGCAGTGTACAACCTTCCTTTTTTTCCAAAAATCGACTGCTCCAAAATTTCTCGGGAAAACACTTTTTCTTATTAATTTTGGTGCGTAGAATCCAAAACAATTCGTACTTTTTCGATCAGACTTCTCAATCAAGTTATAGACTAGAAACCAATTTCAAAAGAAAATTCAAAGGGCTGTAACTTTTGAACTAGTAGCCCAATTTCGATCAGACTTCTCAATCAAAAGTTATAGACTAGAAACCAATTTCGAAAGAAAATTTAAAAGGGCTGTAACTTTTGAACTAGTAGCCCACTCTTGGAACTGTTTGAAATTATGGATTCTACAGACCACATTCTATAAGAAAATTTTTTTTCTGGGTCGATCTGAGACAATCCGTACGTTTTCAATTAGACCTCTCAATAAAAAGTTATGGACAAAAAACAAATTTCGAAAAAAAATTCAAAGGGCTGTAACTTTTGAACTAGTAGTCCAATCTTCAAACTGTTTGAAATTATGGATTCTACTGGCCAAATTCTATAAGAAAATGTTTTCCCGGTCGATCTCAGACAATTTTTTTTCCGGCCTCAAAAAAAGGCAGTACTTTTAAGTTATTCAAATATTTGAGAACAATTTAGAAATGTTTAGGGAAAGTTTTCATTGTCACAAAATCAAATATAAAAATCCGATACATCTGAATACCGAACTCGATAGTCTACGTAACTTAAAAACAATAGGGACCTTTCTTATATCCTTAAGACCATGTGTACCTATTTTCAAAATGATCGCACGTTTCTAAACAAGTTAGCATGCACGCGGACAAACGGATGGTCAAAAATGGATCTGTTCCAAAATCGCTAGGATTAGTATTCGAATACATTCTAAAGTATTTGAATACTTTTCAATGTATCTGTATCTAGTATTCGCTAGTGCTGGATGTAAAAGTATTTAGTATTCAAATACTTTTTGAAAGTATTCTGCCCAGCTCTGATTGCAACCAAGACTGTTGCAACCTCGCCCACTTCAAATATAACAAAAAACATAAAAGTAGAATATCAAAATTAAAGGTTAATAATAAACTGTGGTTTAAGCCTCTATTACAATATACAGCGTGTAAAATATGATAATTAAAGTTACTTAAATAAATTATGGCTAGTTACACACACACTACCTATACATTAACATCATTAAAACTATAATTCCAAATTATTCTCAACTTAATACATGCAAGTGGATACAAGAAATTAGGCCCTAATACAGAATCGATCGTTGTACTAAATTATAAAACTCTTCTAAGTGTACGTCAAAAACGACTAGAGACAATTTATTAATTAAACGCATACAAAAAAAATTAATTTTGTAACTTATCCATAAACTGAGATAAATCGTATTCATCCTCATACTGTCTTTCGTCCCACAAGTCGGGCAGGGAGTCTAATAAGGCGCGAACGCCGTTTGCATCTGTGCGGCCGCCCACAGAACCGCTTCCGGTTAGAGGCTTGTGTGAGAATAAATCGAGCAGTTGATCGGTGCCCATCGATTCGAGACGACTGTTTTCTCCAGTGATCACGGTTGTCGCCGTTTGGACCTTGAACTTCTGAAGCCTGAAAAAGACAAGAACATTAAAATATGTTTGTTGATGAAGGACTCCCATAAGTGTTTGAGTGATTTCTTATTGGAAAAATAAAGTGAATTGAGACTCAAACAGTCTTTTTTTTTTTAATTATTATTTTTTATTTATTTTTTTATTTAGAATAATAAAAACTGAGTCTCAATTCACTTCATTTTTCCAATTAAAATACGCTTTTCATTAGTTGTCTGCTAGCAATACATACCCCATAATCTTTTCCTCAAGTGTATTTCGAGTGATCAACCGATATACGTTCACCACTTTTCTCTGACCGATCCTATGCGCCCGATCCATAGCTTGAAGGTCTTTCATTGGATTCCAATCGTGCTCGACAAAAATAACCGTATCTGCACCGGTCAAATTTAATCCCAACCCGCCGACTTGCGTCGTGAGTAAGAGCACATCAATGGACGGATCATTATTAAACCTGAAAAGTAATCAAAGTAGCTTTTAATCGATTAATCTTTGAGGTACCTTGTAACAACGGAATGTCTTTGTCCTGGAGGAATGGATCCGTCCAGTCGAAGGTAGGTAACTGACGGCATATTCTTCTTGAATAGATCGAACTCGATTATGTCCAACATGGCCTTTAGCTGGCAAAAAACTAAGGCGCGATGTTGGTTTATTACCAATTCCGAATTTTGCGTTTCGGTCGAACCAATACCGCAGTCTTGCAGAAGTTGCCTACATAAATTACGTTTCTAGCATATGCAGATTTGCGTTTGGTACTCACTTGAGGGCGGGTAGCTTCGCGGAATGATTGATATCGTCCAGCAGAGACTGTTGCTGTTGCAGCTGAGCGATGATTTGCGAATACTGAGGATGGGACGAATTCAGAACCAACTTTGGATGGTTGCACACATTTTGGAGGTATCGCAAGGCCTGGAAGATGTGCGTGTTGCCTTGCATTGAACTGGCAGTGGCGCCCGTCGAGAACGATTGCTGGAAAATAATCAAGATTGGGGGAGTGAACTTTGACCAGAGGTTAACATGGAACCCTCATATGGGTAAGGTAATAAAAAAAGGTGATCCTAGCTAGCGTTGGCCAAAAAAATCGATTAATCGATTATAATCAAATGATAATCGATAATCGGGTTTGATTATTCTTTTAAATTAATCGATTATTTTTATTAATCGATTATTTGATTAATCGATTATTTGATTAATCAAGTGCTTGATTAATCGATTATTTGATTAATCAATGAATCGGTACAATCGATTATTTTCCCAAAGTATTAAATGTGTGAGTGCTATAGACTTCCAAAATAATATAGGAAGAAAGGCTGAGAAATCTTACCTGTAGAGTGAGATGCGCTTGCGATTTTGAGAAATCATCATAAAGCTGTTCCTGCAATGAGCTTAATTCGCAATAATAATCTTGAGTAATCTTCGGCGGTAGATCGTCAAGAACGTCCTCCTTCATTCTTCGCAATAAAAACGGTAAAACTTGCCGATGCAGAGATTCCATCGCGAGCGCTCCGGCCTCCTGCTCCTTCGTCGAACACTTGGGATCCCTGCTCGCCAGTATCGGTTTCGAATATCGCGCGGTGAATTGCTTCTCCGTGCCCAAAAAGCCGGGCATTAGGAAGTCAAACAGACTCCA